CAACTCTTTATCTCTATTTCATGTCCACAGCTACCACCATGACTCATCAGTCAAAACTAAAAGACCCCATACCCCATCTCCTAAAGTCTGGGTGGACCATCGGACCAGCTTCTTGAAGTCTTGTAGGAGCTTAAGCATTAGTAAGCTTCCATGTATCTTTGTTCTAGGTTGCCCTTACATTTCATGGCACCCTTCCATGTTTTGCCACCATAGGATAAATGACTGGCTTTAATAACTACCATGTTGGGTTATTAGGAATTTTGTTGAGAAAAATTCCAACTGCATACTTAGTATGTAATGGGAACACCACAGGAATAAAAAATTTCAAAGTGTTTCCTCAAACTGAGTTTTGTTTTGTTTTGCTTTTTGTTTTTTTTTAAAACAGGATATATTGAATTAAGTAATTTGTGTATGGGAGTGTTTTAAATCCCATGGGATTATGTAGCATTCACAAAATCATCTACTGAAAACCACACAGTCTGGTCTGTATTAAACATAAAGTCTGAATTTAATAAGATCTGAATATCTTTTACCAAATAAATATTATAAACTTGGCTGTTATGCCGTTTCTTTTTTCTCATCTAGTAAAAATAGTTCAGTGCTTTTCAATGAACATAAAATAAAATATTCATATAAATTTTAAATCAAAATTAAAAACATAATATGGCAAGAACTTAAATTTTCCCCCAGTTGCAGTAACTTCTCTTTACTGGAAAACTTTCAGCATCACATTATAGGGTATGATCAACTTTTTTGAACTGTAGTAATTTGAATGTAATTGGCCCCCATAATCTCACAGGACATGGAACTATTAGGAGGTGTGGTTTTGTTGGAGTGGGTATGGCTGTCATGAGCTATTGTGGACCACGATAAAAAATATAGCAGATGGCAGTTGGTAATTCAGATGTCAACCTACCAGATAAATAATTCTCTAATAAAAAAAAGAACCCCATTCAGGCAAGGCTTATGGGACCTCAGACTCTGGAAACTGACTGCTTCTGTCTGTAAATTCACAAGTGCAAAGACAGCTATGGTATCTCCCCAATGTTTACACTGTAATGTGTAATTTCATGTGATGCATATATGTAATCTCATGATTATATCTCAATCTTATGGGCTTATATATCTGTGCATGGTTAGGAAAATGACTTCTTAACTGTACAATTTTTTGAAAGTGTGAAGGAGGGGAGATGGTAAGAGTCAGGAATGATTCTGACGCCTTCAGTCAACACCATGGATGGGAAGGATGAACTGTGTAGAAGTGCCCATGTCATCCACAAAGAGATGCTTATGAAGGCCAGAGTTACACTGGTTCAGAACATGCTCTTTGGTGTCAGCAATCTTCGCTCTTGAATTTGTGGGACTTTGGGCAAGTTTACCTGAGGTTCTCAAGTTCTTGTATTTAAAACAGGAATCATAGTAATGCCCACCTGAGTTATTGGGGGGAACAGAAGTAAACACATTTCAGAAGATGACTAATAGAAAGCCTAGAATAAGTTGAGTACTCAATATGTGAGAGTTTGTTTGTTTTTGTTTTACTGATAATGCAAATAATAACAATGTATGTGACTTTAGAATGGAAGGTATCTGGTTTTAAAAAATTACTTTAACTGTTCTTAGTATGTAAGCAGTGGTACTGAGAAGTACACAGAGTAGTCATAGCCATGCAAATGCTTCAAATCTAAGCAGCTAGTGAGTTGGTGTGAGCATCTTTGAACAAAGTGTAGATGGTAGAAGTTGGAGAGATTATTCCCTTGCTGGAGATGATTATTAGCATGCCAGAAATCAAGACAATTCTGTTGTTTTCTTGTTCAAAGCATTGAGAAATTTCTCTGTGTTTAAATATTGGAAACTAAATTCAACCTAACAAAGAAAGATAACCCATACATAGGCCAGATCATGGCTTGTTAAGTTCTTGATGGTGACTTTTGTCACAAAGAGAAAAGGAGGCTGTACAGCCCTACACAATATCGGTGCCAGAGCAGTGGACAGAGAAAAAGTGTAAACATCAAGAAAGGAGGAGGATAGAAAAGCAAGATGAGGAAGGAGATGAAGGAGAGGGAAGAGAAGGGAAGAAGAGGGAAGAGGAGAGAGAGAAGGAAATGGAAGTGGAAATAAAGAGAAAGCAGGGGGAGAGTAAGAAAGGGGAAGAAAGGGGAGGGGAATGGAGGAAGGGAAAATTAGAAGGGAAAAGAGGGAGAGAAGAAAAGAGAAAAGAAGACAAGAGAAGGGGAGTGGAGGGGAGGGGAAGGGAGGCCAAAGAAGCTGATACTAAAGAGCCCTTAGGGTCTAGAGAGTCGTAAATATCATCAAGGTGCCACCAAGACTCCTGTGGCCATACTATGTCACAAAAGCCACCCGTACTCGTAACCTCCTTTTGAGACAGCAAGTAATTACTACCAGGCAGAGGGGGCCTAATTCTCAGATCATCCAGGGTTAGAAATGAGATGAAAAGCCCATGTGAAAGGTCTGTATGTCCTCAAAAGGACTCTACACAGTCAGACCCCTTGAGCTGTGAGCAGAGGCACTGACTTCCAGCTCAGCCATTCCCTGGACAGAGCCAGAGTGGGAGTAAGGAAATTTGTTCCATCCTCCATGTTTATGAGGAATTAGCTAACCAGGATACATTGAAAAGAAACACAAAGAAAAACAACAGACTAACCACTAGTGGATTCTAAGATCTTTTATTCTATCCATGTAAATGGCAAAAGTATTATTTTACATATTGTTAACATTAATACTTATACTCTTTGAGACCCAGGAATGCACTGAATACAAAATTATGGCTTAAAACCAGGAAACCACCTGATAAACTTAAGAACATATTATGATTGACACTCCAAAACTGGCTTAATACATGTGTGTAGTTAAGCCATATCTTAAAATAAAGGGATATTTTTACCTTTATGAAAATACAACAAACAAACAAAAACGGATCTCCCTATATCATCCTGTAAACTGAAAGTTATTAGCTAACAGTGGGTAACTGCTCTGGAAGGAATTACCAAGAAGCCTAAGTGGCGGGGATATGTAGTTTGTAAAGGGCAGACAAAAGAACAAAAAGCAAAACAAAATTTTTTTTTTTAAAAAAAGGAGCTTCCAATAATCAAAAGAGAAAGTTACTCAGCACAGAGACATCTAAAATGTGGTATCTTTGGCTAATGTTATGAACATAATATTCTAAACTGTTAGACATTTCATGTTTTTTTCATGTTATTGGGCAGAAGCAGAATGCAGAAATAGAATATCACTTGTCCATGGTCACTTGCTTAGTGATTGAGTCAAATTTAGATTTCATGACTCCTAAATTTCTCATCCAGTTCTCATCCTGTGAATCTCCTCTTTTATAGAGAACAGGATTAATTATTCCTTTGAAGGAATTAATAAGGGAACTCAGACCCAGACCACATATGGAGGCAAGTATGAGGTTAAGGTTGGCACAGGGCAGCAGTATCCCAAAGTGGCTAACAGAGGCCATCACACACAGAGCACGTCAGATGTGCTCCAGGGGAGTGAGGGTCCAGAGCAGAAACCATGGCAATAGAACAATAGAACAGTGATGCTTAGGCTAGGCCTGTGCATTGCACATCCATAAAAATAAAAAATACAGACTTAAATCACAAATGTAGAAAAACAAAACATGCATTTTCTTAAATATTAACCTGTAGTTATAAACAATTGCTTTTTCAGCTATCACGTATTAGGTAATAACAAGTTTAGGGAACATAATCAATAACCAAAACTGAATACACACACACACACACACACACACACACACACACACACACACACACACACACACAAATCTCCTGAGTCACTAAGACAAAAATCACAGAATATTTCACCCAACGTAATTCATGTAACACATTCAGCCTGTGGACATGAGGTCCACGGTAGGCTTTCCAGTAGTAACCCCTGTGGTTATCTCATTCTCAGATTCTTTTAGGTAGCATAGCAGATTGCAACAGACTGGGAATATAGTTATAAATAGATGCTTAAGAAAAATATGAAATTGTCAGACAAAATAATCCAAATATAACTGAGCTCACTTAGTACCAGGATTAATAGACTTCAAACTTTCTGGAAGTTTAAGAGATAACCATTACAAGGAAACAGAATCATCTAGAAAGATTTTGTGATGCATTATATCTTCTATTGAAAATGACCAGAATATATTGCAATGTAAAAAATTACCGAAAAATATCACATAAAATTTGGAAAGAAAGACATACACACCGTCCTCAGACTGTGGAAATCCTTATCCTGAGATAACCAGTTCACTATTATCGCATATAATAAAAATAACCTTCAGGGGAAACTATCTCTCACATCCTGTATAAGAAACAAAGCTCTATTGGTTTTCTTTACACCACTGATAAGTTTTTTTTTTTTTGAGGGGGAGTGGGGGGTGCCATAGCCCTAGGATAGCTTTTTGAAAGGAGTTTTCTATTATGTGTGTTTGGAGGCCAGGAAAGAAGAGCAACAACAGAAGTAAACCCATAGTGTACTGTGTCACTTAAATGGTGTCTTCAAGTCCTAGTTTCCATAGGGTGATCTTTCTTCTGATCTCCCATGAAATGAGAGAGGGCAATGTAAACATGGATCACTTTAACCTTGGAGAAGGCATTTCTGTTCCTACTGGTTGATGGACACCACCCTTTCCAGATTCATAGCCCCATTCCTTACTTTCTTTGGACAATGCCGAAAGTGTAGAAAATAGTAACCAAGTGCTGTTTTCAGTGACAGAAGTTTATTACAATAATCTTCTGACCAACAGACACAATTTGTCTTGAAGAGACATTTATTTTCTCATTCCCGGAAGGTCTCTTAGCAGACTCAAGGCAATCATGGGATTTGGGAGGTCAATTGGCACGTTTTAAATATCCCTGAGTGAGGAAGTGGGATAGGATCTGCATTTGGTCACATCTCCTAGAGTTGAGCTGGACAGACTCATCTCTCCCAAGAAAGAATCTGTGTCCTGTTCACCCTTGGAGTGGAATTCACAGTGGCACCTGGTTCACAGTGCTATAGATCTTCAGTGGGCACAGAATCTACCAGGAGTTATATTGACAACAATCAATTCCCCATCATTTATCTGAAGGTGTTCACAGGGAGTATCAGGAGCATTTATAGTCAAGTAAATTATATCTTTGAAGGCCAAAGAGGCTACCATAGGGAAATCAACCCTTTGACCATTGTTCAGCATGGGCATAGAGATGGGACTTCTACCCTTCCGGAAATGAAGGTTGATCTTGACCTCCTGGAAAAAGGAGCCCTTCATGTAGATGAGATAAAGCCCATCACAGGTGATGGCGATTGAGTTGTTCTTCACTCTCATGGTTTGATACTCATTTCTGGGTAGGCTGAAGAATAGTCTCCCATTCTCACATCCTAAAAAGAATTGAAAACAATAAACAATATTATGCTTAAGCAAAATATGAGACAAGAATCTTCCAGAAAAACTACTAGAGGAGACTTTGGAAAGAAAGCAAGAGAGCACTGTAGCATACCAATGTGTGGAACCTGCTATACCCTTGGACAGAATGGAGAGGTTACAGCCATTGTCACCTCAGACATGTGGCAGGAAAGACAACTCTATTGTAAACTCTGTTATGCCTTCACATGTAGGTCTTAAGTTTGTATGTTCTTGATTTTCCTTTTCTGAGAGTACACTTGTTATTCACTGTTTTTGTATATAGGTTTTGTATCAAGCCTAAATCTTTTATTTAGACTAAAAGGGGCACTGACCATGTCCATTGGGGGTGGGGACAGGTGCACTTGTGACCTGGGGGAACTAGGTCTGGGGTAGGGACCCCAGAGCACTCTCTTGCTTGCTGGACAGAGACAGAGAGCACCGGGAGGCATCCTTGGAAAGGGAACCTGCTGGCAATCAACTGCCTCTGTTGTAAGTTATTTCTCTCTAAATAAACATCTATTCAGCCTATTTGTTTTTCCCAATCCTTATTATTCCGAGATAGGTCCCTTTACTTTGCAGCCCAGTGGATAGACTACAGCAAAGGTTAGAAGTGGTGGAGCAATAGGGCCTTCATTGCTTTGGTCCTGTCAGCCCTTATTAGCCTGACTCAAGGCAACTACACTTAACCATTTCCTGCACCTTCCCACTGGACCATGAAATACAAATTTCTCTCATGGCCCCCAGGAAGCAGACTCACCAACAGCAAGCAACACTGGTGGTCTTTGCCAGTGGTCAAATAAGCTTAGTGATGCAGCCAAGCACAGAGTGCTATGGGCTCGAAATGGGCTCAGTCCCATGAAGCAGGGAGAAAGAGTCCAGGAACACAGTCATAGTTTTTGCTTCTTCTTTCTACCTCCTATACCTCCTGGAGGATAGCTTGGTAAGAGTCACTGACACAGAGAAAGAAGAGGAGGAAGAAGAAAAAGAGGAAGAGGGGAAAGAGGAATAGGAGGAGGTAAATGAGGGAAAACAGGACAGGCAACAGCTTTGGTAGCTTTGTACTAGGCCTTCCAGAAGCAAGCCCCAAAGCCTAAGTTTCTTGCAGTTCTGCATCAGCCTGAATACCATCTTAATGGGCTGAGCATTATACACCTACTCTGGCCCATGCTCCTTGGTGATAGGAAATAACAGGTCCCCAGTGCTGCCCCATTCAATAATTCTTACTTTACACCAGACCCAGGAGCTAAACTTTGAATAGAAAATAAGAATGATTTATTAAAGCAAAATATACTTCCTGTTCAACTCAGATAACTTAATAAATACTCAAAAACTCAATTAGAAACTTCCGGTGGTTGGCAGTGATCAAGGACCCAAGTGATACTCACTTGATCAAAGTACCAGTTTTTCTTCTTACAGGACCTCCCCCATCTCTCATTCAGGTATTATCATGTTACAGCATATAACTGGCAGGTATCTTACAGCCAAACAGCCTTAGAATCTTTAGGTGAAAACAAAATGAAATCCCTACTCTAAATCATTTCTGGGAGGATTAAGAAAGGCATATTAAGTGTAGATACAGGAACTGCTTTGGTTACTAATCCCTTTTTGTTCCTGAAAAAAAAAATAATACTCAGACCCCAACAATTTGGGGATGTGATACTTGCCTAGGGAAATGACAGAGCCTGTGTTCTGGGAAAATTAAGATACCACAGAAAAGACCCTACTAAAAGCATGGTACAAGGCTTTGCAGATGACTCAGTCAGTAACATGAAGACCTGAGTTAAGTTCCTCTCTCTCTCTCTCTCTCTCTCTCTCTCTCTCTCTCTCTCTCTCTCTCTCTCTCTCTCTGACACAAACACACACACACACACAATAAAGAAAAGAAAAATTCCAGGCATGGTGACACAGTGCCGACTACAATCACAGCTCGGAGGGATCAGAGGCAGGTAGATCCCTGAAGCTTGCTGGCCGGCCTGCTGTTTGGCTGAATCAGTAAGTTCCAGGTTCAGTGACAGAAGTTGTCTCAAAATAGAAGCTGAAGTGCAAACAAGGAAGACAACCAGTGCCAACCTCCACCTCCCCATGCACATCACATACACACGCACATGCACTCATAAACACAGCCATGCATGTGCCACACCAATATACAAAATAACGACATAAAGATGATTTTTGGAATACTTACTGGTAACTTGTGCTTGGAGACTTTGGATTGGAGGATGTTTCACCTAAAAAAGGAGGAAAGGATAGATATTTACAAAAAGAAAAGTGAAATGGATACAGCCGGCCACAGGAAAAACCCTTGACAAAAGACAGCTGCATTTTCTTTGAGAATTTGACCCAGACTTGCTACACAGCCTTGCTTTTCTATTGCTATAACAGCCCTTCTGATAGGGAAAGGTACTTCTGCTCTATCATGAAAGCATCTGAAATCTGCCAATCTCTGTACTAGGTTGATTCACAGGGCCCCAATTCTCCACTTAAATAGTAGCACTCTTTATTAGAAAGTTGCTCAGGGTACAGACTCCCAGAACATATCAGGAGAAAGTTCTGGGAGCTTTTTGTGTGCACTCTCTTCCACGGGAGTAAACATGTCCTGTTTTCAACAGGCTAAACAACCTGCTCTACACAACCCTTCAAAGCACAGTGTTTTTATCTTCAAGCTTCTTCTCTTTACTGTTTTATTTCTTGCTTTTATGTGCTAACTTGACTCATGTTCAATTTTCAAGCTGTTGAAGAGAATAGAAAGATCCAAGGCTTTAGAATAGCTAATTGGCTGGTGGGATGGCTCAGTGGGTAAATGCACTGGTCCCAACATGACAACCTGAGTTTGATCCCCTGAAACTATGTAAAGGAGGAAGGAAAGAACTGATTCTACAAAATTGTCCACACACACACACACACACACACACACACACACACACACACACACAATAACTAACACAAAGAAAGTCAAAATGGAACAAAGTCAAAGATCTATGAAGTGAAAATAACAAGGGCGGAATCATATGTAAAGAATATTCATGTCCTTGAAAAACCAGAAACATTCCTGTACACACTGAGTAAATCACAAAGAATGCACCAATAAGTCAGGTACAAAGGTTGTCTCTGGGAAAAAAATGATTAGAAGCCCGAGATCATAAATAGTAGGGGCCCTTTCTACTACATGGTGTAGTCCCTACTAACAAAGAAAACAGAAAGAAAAAATGCCCACAGCTTCTGCCAAGAACAACAGCCACAAGGTTATTTTTGGCAGAATGTCCTATCAGAGGCATGAGAGAAATTTGTTTTTGTGCCCTGAGCAGTGGAATCCCTACTTCCCACTCTCCTGGCAGACTAATAGCCTCAGTCAAGAGGATTCTACTGGGGACTCCCTCACACAAATGAGGAATCCCCTACTTCTCTTTTAAATGTGATCATGGGCCTCCGTGAGTTAAGATCAATGGGCTACACAGGGAACAGGGAGGGCTTTCCCTGCCAGTCCCTGGGCTAAAGAACAGCAGTGATGCAATGTGGTGAGCATGTGGAGAAAGTGTTGACTCAGATGGGAATGTGAGTCTTGTCTCCCGATCTCTTGTCTGATGCTTCTTTGTGCTTTAAGAAGTGTTCTAGAAGAAGACCTCCAAAAGACCCATTACCCTCACTACCATAATTCCCTAGACAATTAATGTGCTCTGGGGCTAGATGTTACCAGTACCCATTGTCAGAAGTGGTCTATGTAGTGGCATAGGACTTAGCACAACATGCAGCTCCTGAGTTTTGATACCAGACAAGCAAGTAGTAGGTGGTCTTAGATAAAGTATCACAAGCTCCCTAGGCATCAGATTGTCATCCTTAAAAATCACTTCACCACAATGGGCATCCATTTCAGCACCAGCTTTCACATGTATGTGTGTATGTATGTGTATATATATTCTTCCAAACAAAAATAACAATTAAGCAAACAAATAAAATTAGTTCAGTGTGATGACACACAACTTTAATGTGAGCACAGAAGGCAGAGGTAGATGGAGCTTATCCTGGTCTACCAGAACTACATGGTAAGACTGTGTGTCTCAAAATACAAAACCAAAACAAAAGTGGAAACTCCAAGTTAATGAGTTATCTGCAAATGAAAAGAACAGGAAGTTTCCCAGTTCACCAGTTCACAAATTGACTTGAAGCTCTCTGATCTGAAGGCCCTTGTGAGTATATTTCTTCCTTTTTTTTTTTTTTTTTTTTTTTTTTTTTTTGGTGTGGGGGGGATTGAACCCACAGCCCTTCACATTCTAGGAAAGTGTTTCCCCTACCACCGGGCACACTTCTAACCCTTCAAAAAACGTTTTGGTTTGTGACATTATCTTGTCAACTTTGAACTCGCCAGGTGTGTGGTTTAATTATTTTGATTGACTTTGCAAAAGACTCTAAAGGGTTCCTCTGTGTGTGTGTGCATGTGCATGTATGTGGTGTGTAGATTTCTATCGTTTTGTTGCCTTGTTGTTGAAGGGGTAGCAATGACCAAAGGGGCATCTTCTGGGACTGAGATAGTAAGAGGCAGCCAGGAAAGCCACACATGACTTCCTCCACTGGTTTGATCTATTGCAACCCCCAACATCCTGTTCCTTCTCCCAAAGGTCACCTAGAGTGGAAATTTGCATATCCTCAGAAGTCTCTTAGAAACAACAATTTAGTGAATTCAGGTAATTTTATGAAGTAGGAAAAGGTTATTCTTCCTGTTGCCAGAGCCTTCTGCTCTCATTCTGCACACCTGCTCAACTGCCCAGAGACAGTCACCCCTACCCTGCCCAGAAACATTCCCACACTTCTCAGAGAGAGATACTTCTACAATATCCAGAGACACTCCCACACTGCCCAAAGATATCCTACCCTGTTCAGAGATATTCCCACAGTCCCAAAGCCAATGTCACGTTTGGCCTGGCTGCAACCTCATTCTCAAGCTTCACACATACCTTTTTGCATCTTATGATTAAATCAGTCTTTTCTTTAATCACCTTCCCCTTAAATGAAGAACCAGATAGGACAAGACAAAGAGCAGATTGGTTGGCCTCAGATTTGACTCAAACTGTGGCTTTCCCAGCTTCATGAATTTGGAAAAGATATAAACAATTTCTCAGCTTTCAAACAGATGTGTATAAGGTTTCACACTGTAAGTGGAATGCCCCAAGAGCTAACAGTGTAGTTTAAGGAAAATAACATTAACCACTGATTAGTTTGCCTGACACAAATGCTCAGGAATGCCTGCTTATTCTCATCTCTATTTCCAGATTGTCTGCCTATCCAATTCTGCCCATCGGAATCACAACCAAATGAAATCCTTGATGCTTGACAGACGTATCCCCATACCAAAAACTTTAAGACACTTTGTTCATATAAAAACTTAACAAAAGTTGTAGTCATAACCACCAATACTTGGATGCAACCAAAAGTTCTGAAGAAGATAAAACTATGGAGCAGCTACAAAGTGACCATTATTTTCAGGTCTAACAGGAAGTGAGTCATCTGACCATGAAAAGCTGTGGAGAAAACTATGCTTTATAATCTGTGTAAACGAACCGTCAAAGAAGGCTACACTTTGTGTGATTCTAGTTGTAAAACATTTGAAGCAAATCTATGCAGACTAAAAGATCTGGGGATGCATTAGGTCAGGAACTAGGGGGCTATGAAATGCTGAGTAGGGGCAACACGGGAGGTGTTTGGGGATACTGAAGTCATAATGGGGGCGAGGATATATGTCATTATACTTTAGCCAAACTATAGAATATAGAAAGCATATTATCAAAAGTAAACGACAGGAAAGAGAGAGAGACAAAGAGAGAGAACAGAAAAGAGGGAGCCAATATTGGTTTGAAGATAAAATTGAACACAAAGAAAGATCTAGAGAACTACAAGACTGCTGACAACTAACAATCTCAGCTTCCGTGGAAAGGCTATCATAAATGCCCTTCCCGGAGAGTGAGATCAACAACTAACTTCTCCATGGAGCCCTCAACTAATGCCTGTTGGAAACAGGATCAAACACCCATACATAAACACTGAGTCGAACTAGAATCCAGATACAGAGGGAGAGGACAAGACCATGCGGCAGAAACACATACAGACAGCTTACCTGAACAAGGAGGAGCTAAGGGCCACTAGACTGATAGCTGGGAAGCCAGCATGGGACTGACTCAGGCCCCCCTGAATATGGGTCTCAGCCAGAAGGACTGAGCAGTCTAAGGGACCTCAGACAGTGGAACCAGGATGTATCCCTGGAGCACAAAAGGACTTTGCAAACATATCCCCCATGGAGGGATAACTGCCTTAATCTAGAGACAGGAGAGAAGCCCTAGTCCCTACTTCACAGGACCTGTCAGATCTACATGACCCCAACTGGATGGCATTCCCCTACATATGGAATTGGGGTGGGGGATGGGAGGGGAGGGTGGTTACAGTGCATGTGAGAGGGCAGAGAGGGTAAAAGGGAGGGAAGGAGGGAGGGAGGGGTAGAGGGAGGGAGGGAGGGAAGGAGGGAGAGGGAACTGGGATCGACATGTAAAATAAATTAAATTTTAAAAAAAAATGCTTTGACTCCAAAATTTAAGTTGAAGAACAAGTTACTGGGGAAAAGGATTTCTATTTTTGTTTTGAAAAGATGTGGATTCCTTCCAGACTAATGTGGTTTGATCAAGCCAGACAGTCTGAAACAGAGTACAAGGTGATCCTACATTCAAAACAGCTGGACAAAACAGCCTTACAGACTACAGCCAGGATTTCTGAATCTTCTTCAAATCCCCCATGACAGCACCCCTTACCAGCAGGAAGTAGTTTGGAAAGAACAATGCCCAAATTCCCAAATATTGTCTATAAATGTTTGTTTTCATTTAAATAGACTTTGTTATATAAAATAAATTTTAAAAAAAGAAAGAAATCAGTCTGGAAGGCAAGGACTATGTTTATCATAACAATATCCAAAACCAACACAATGTATTTTGTAAATATTTGCTACATATTAAACCATGAGTACATCACAAAAAAAGAAGAAAGAAAAAAGAAAATATGTATTTAGGTCTGCCTTTCTTCTAAATTAACTGAGACTTTGTTTCCATTTTCAGCTCACTATATTTAGATGTTCAGTTCTTTGCATTACTGTTTTTTCATTCCTCACAATTATTGCACTGGTTTGTAATGGCGTTTGGCTTACAATTGTATGTGTACACTCTATTTTCTTATGTACTTACTTCTCTTAAAG